ACCATACTGTGATGCCCTGACCGGCCGGAGCGACGAATTAAAAAACATTAAAACCCATTATAAACGAGGCATTTGTTATTTGTAAGACATAATTACAGATTGTAATGACTTATACTGTCTTTTTACGAGTTGTGTTGCATCGCGTCGCGTAAACATAAAACCATGTCTGCATTTGTGATCGGAGAAATGACTAACAACAAGTGCTACTCTACACTGCCCAAAACTCGCATTTGAATCGTCAGTGGCAAATCCTTTAAATGAAAACGTACTTACAGTCCGTGAGTCAGAACAGCCGGCATTGTAGTCTACTCTCCCAGGATCAGGAAACAGTCCTCCATAAAATGTGCTGCACACAAATGAATATTTGGGTTGAAGTGTTCTGGAACAGTGTTGTAAATACAACTTAACCACTGATTTCTAGTCGTGTCCTCTTTTGAAAGGCCAAACAAAGTAGTTTCGCTTTCACAACGAAACACACGGCAGGCTAGAGTGAGCAGTGGCCGAAAGGCTAGAGTGAGCGGAGGCCGGCAGGTGGACTTGAGAACGGCGCGGCCGGCAGATTCGACGAAGGAGCGGCCGGTGGGCTTGCGGCAACCCCATGTGACGACCCAGGTCCACGGTGAAAGCCGATCCGGCGATTGACAGCGTGAAGTTGATGTATTTCCTCAGTGACCAGCACGGATCAGCTCCAGGCATGACGAAGCGGATATCGTCCTCTTTTGGAAGGCCAAACAAAGTAGTTTCGCTTTCACAACGAAACACACGGCGTCTTCACAACATGGCGGCAGCAACAATACTACAGCGAGAATAAAAGTTACGCCTTCTTTCTTTGCATGAACATTTGGGTGGCGTTATGCAAATCTTCCCACATCGTGACGTAGACATGTGGGGGCGTGTTAAAACGAGCCGTTTTAGGTAGGCGTGGTTGACTCTTAACTTTTATAAAGAATATCTCTTTGGATTTGAGACTTTAGTCTTTGAAACTTTACAGATCTTCTTTATGCACCAAGAAAGAAACACTTCAAAGAGAAAGGAAAAATTGTAATCGCATCATATGACCCCTTTAATGAAAATGGCTTTAGAATGCCTCAGCATTAAAGGAACAGTTCACCCAAAAATGAAAACTTTGTCATCATTTACTCACCCTCATGTCGTTCCAAACTTATACAGTGAGTAAATGATGACCACATTTTCATTTTTGGGTGAACTATCCCTTTAAAGGAAGAAGAACTCCCTCAACTATAATCAGATCACTGTAAAGAAAGTGGTGTCTGTTGAGCATCAAATGTGATGTATTTATAACTTTCCCACAACAGAGAGTTGTTATGCAACCCTTGGCCCAGATTCCCTGTTTTAAATTGCCGGATGCCACTCGTGGTTCTCTCCTCAGCATCCTGAGGAGAGAACGTGCCTGATGTAAATAATTTTCCATTAACGTGCCCGATGGAAAATATCTCCGGCTGTCCTTAAACGTCAGTGCTCGGTCATAAAGCACTGCATGTATAGTTATTGCTAGTGACAGTATAATTGTTGTTGATAATCTCATGGATGTCCACCACAAATTTC